TAAGCCACCCAGGCACCCCAACAATGATTTTTAAAGCAGACCTTCAGGAGCAGGTCTATAGCTGTACCAAAGCGGGGATGAATCGACTTGTTGCCGTTCCTAATCTTAACACCTTATCCAACATCAGCACATTGATCTGGCCTGCTAAACTTGCCAATTTCCAGAGCATTACCTAGGTTCTTTTAGAAAATGATTTAAAAGCCCCATCCTAACTTTGAGAAAGGTTTATGTTTGTGATGATAGATGTTGTGTCTTCAACAATCACAAGACTGATTCCAGAAGCTGCATCTGAAAACACATTTTCTAGCTCAGTTTTTGTACCCTGTAGCCGTATTTTGGTGTTGTACAGAAATGGCAAAATAGAGTCACAGTGGGAATGTTAAGCTCTCTTTTCTTTTCAAATATTATTGTAGATACAGCTGCAGGAGGAACAGTATAGGGGATTTTTGTTTTATGGAAGTGTTTTTCTTTAACCAAGTTCGGATTGACATATAACATTATGTTAGTTTCAGGTGTACGGCATTATGATTTGCTATTTGTATACATTGCAAAATGATCACCATGATAAATGTAGTTAAATCCATCACCATATATAGTTAAAGAATTTTTTCTTGTCATGACAAAAATGTTCTTAAATAACATATAATTGTTATGATAATAATAATATTTTATTAAAAACTTTTTTAATGTTTATTCATTTTCTGAGAGACAGAGCATGAGTTGGGGAGGGGCAGAGAGAGGGAGACACAGAATCTGAAACAGGCTCCAGTCTCTGAGCTGTCAGCACAGAGCCCGACGGGAGACTCAAACCTGTGAACCAAGAGATCATGACCTGAGCTGAAGTCGGTCGCTTAACCAAGCCACCCCGGCGCCCCAAATAACAAGTATTTGTAACTGTTATTTGAGAGCCTCCCACAAGACTAGTGAAAGAATTGGAATGAAAATTTTTAAAAATCTAACACATAACTGGAAGGTATATAATATCTTTAGTTATTAGCAAAAAGAAATAGATGGGAAACCTGCTATTGTGTAATTCCCCGAGAAATTCAGGAGAAATTAAGTGTTTTCACCAAAGGTTTGTAACTAAGTGGCTCTCAGTTCTTCATTTAAATCTTCTAAGATACACCTGTACTCTTGGAATAAAGTGCTTGTGTAGGTGGTAACTCATCTTCTTGGTCAGCAATTCGGACGGAACGAACACTCTCCCTCGCTGTTCTGTACTGGGCTAGAGGACAAGGAAAGACACATTCATCCCAATTGTTAAGCAGTTTATTTCTTGAAAGAAATTAAAGTTTGTGTTTATATTGGCAGCTCTGTCACAACTGTAGTCTAAACTCCAGCCTGGTTATTATGGAAAGTACAGCTTACAAACACTATTAATGTCCTGTTATAGTTCAGACTCCCTGGATCATAACTTCATGAGGAAGAACATATCTGATTTATCTGAATATCTGAACTTCTGCAGCTGTTGCCAGAGAGCACTAATTTTGGGGTACTCACTGAGAAAGCCCTAAGTAAAATGACCTATTAGAATGATTATCTTTTTACCCTGATGCCTTTCATTAGCATTTGGTTAGAAAGATCAGCTGTATTTGAAGATTCTCCTGGTCTCACATTTTAGCAAAACCATTGCACTAATCACTGTCAAACAGCATATTAAAGCCCTCATAGCATCCAACCAATCAATGTTTGTTGAAGCCTTATATTTATATACATGGTATATTCTAGGCAGTATGAGGACACACAGTAGAAGATATTGACTGGTCCTACAGTAACAAGGTGATACTCATTAAAAAAAAAAAACATTCTGGAAGAATTATATCAAAATGGTACATGACTGGTTGCTAACTGAGTGGTACAGATATGATGTTACTCCAATGACAGTTAACCTTTAAGCTCCAAATTTATGAAATGCTGCTCTGCCTATAAAATATTTCAGAAAAATAAGTAAGCCTATAATTACAGAGGCAAAACTCATATTACATACAGTAGGCAAGTTTGGGGTTTACTTATGTTTATATTATACTATATTCTTTAGCTTTGAGCCTTTTTGTGGCCTTCTGTTATGAGTATGTGCTGAAGGAAGGACTCTTGATTATCATTTGTCCGTTTTTATTCAATGCTGAGCATTCAAATGGAAATATTTTTATTGGGGACATAAGTATTTAGTCAGATTCCTTTCATAATGACTTCTTAGTGTCTCAGAATCATTTAAACTGAGCAGTTAGAAAAACAAAAGAGGAGCACCTAGGTGGCTCAGTCAATTAAGCATCTGACTCTTGCTGTCAGCTCAGGTTGTGACCTTGTGGTTCATGAGATCAAGCCCCATGTCGGGCTCTGCACTGACTGTGCAGAGCCTGCTTGGGTCTCTCTCTCTTCCTCCCTGCCTGCCCCTCCCCTGCTCATGTGCCTCTCAAAATAAATAAGTAAACTTTAAAAAAAAGAAAAAGAAAGAAAAGGCATCCATATTGGGAAACTATCTCTGTTTTCAGAAGACATGATCTTGTGTATAGAAATTCCTAAAGATTCCACACAAAAAAGCTATTAGAGCTAATAAATGCATGCAGCAAGATTTCAGAACACAAGATAAATATACAAAAATAAACTGTGTTTTTATCAGTGGACAGTCAATACAAATGAAATTAAGAGAACAATTCCATTTGTAATAGCGTCAAAAAGAATAAAAGGAGTATTAGGCTTGTACACTGAAAACTACAAAACATCAGTGAAACAAATGAAATGAGAACTAAAGAAGTGGAAAGGTATCCTATGTTCATGGACTGGAAAACTATTATTAAGGTGTTAGTAGGCCCCAGATTAACCTTCAGTTTCAACACAATCCCTATCAAAATTTCAACTGTCTTTTTTGCAGAAACTGACAAGCTGGTCCTAAAATTCATATGGGATGCGAAGGATCCAGAAAAGCCAAAAACGGTCTTGACAAAGAACAAAATTAGAGGGATTCATCCTTTTCAATTTCAAACCTTACAACAAAGCAGTAGTAATCAAGACTCTGCAGTGTTGGCATAAGAATAAACACATAGATCAATGGGGTAAAATTGAGAGCCCAGAAATAAACTAATACATTTATGGTTAGTGGATTTTCAACAGGATGCCAGACAATTGAATGGAGAAAGAGAAGTCTTCAATAAATGATGCTGGGACAAATGGATATTCACATGCAAACTAATGAAGTTAGATCACTAGCTCACATCACACACAAAATAAACTCAAAATGAATTAAAGACCTAAATGTTTCCACTAAAAATATAAAACTCTTAGGAGAAAGCATTCTTGGGTTAGGCAATGATTTCTTAGATATGATACCAAAAGCACAAGTCACTAAAGAATTGAACTTCATCAAAATTAAAAACTTTTGTACTTCACAAGACACAGTCAAGAAAATGAAAAGAAAACCCATAGAAATGGAGAAAATATTTGCACATCATATGTTTGCAAATCCAGAATAAATATAGAACTTTTGAAACTCAATAATTAAACAGACAAATAACCCAGTTTTTAAATGGGCAAAAGATTGGGGCGCCTGGGTGGCTTAGGCGGTTAAGCGTCCGACTTTCGCTCAGGTCATGATCTCGCGGTTCGTGGGTTCGAGCCCCGCGTCGGGCTCTGTGCTGACTGCCAGCTCAGAGCCTGGAGTCTGTTTCAGTCTGTGACTCCCTCTCTCTCTGACCCTCCCCTGCTCACGCTGTCTCTCTCTCTGTCTCTCCTAGAAGTAAATAAAACATTAAAAAAAAAAAAAAAACGTAGTTTTAAAAAAAAAAAAAAAAAGAAAAAAAAAATGGGCAAAAGATTTAAATAGACATTTCTCCAAAAAAAACATCAAATGTCCAATAAGCACATGAAATATGCTCAACAGCATTAGTCATCAGGGAAATGCAAATCAAAACAGTGAGATACCACTTCACATCCATTAGGATGACTATTAAAAAAACAGGCAATAACAAGTGTTGGCAAGGATGCGGAGAAATTGGAACTCTTATGCGTTGCTGGTGGAAATATAAAATGGTGCAGCTGTATTGAAAATGGTTTGGAAGTGCTTCAAAAAATTAAACCGAATTGCCATAGGATCCAGCAATTCCACTCCTAGGATAGACTCAAGGTGAATCAAAAACATATGTTCACCCAAAAACATACACACATGTTCATTGCAGCATTTTTCATGGTACCCGAAATGTGGAAACAATCCAAATGTCCATCAACTGAGGGATGTATAAACATGATATGGTATATCCATACAATGTAATATTATTCAGCCATATAAAGTACAGATTCATACTATGGTATAGATAAACATTGAGCACATTATGCTAATTTAAAGAAGTCAGACGCAAAAGATCACATATCGTATGATTCAATTTGTAGGAGATGTCCAGAATACTGTAGGCAAAACCATAGAGTCAGCAAGTAGATAAAAGGTTTCACGGGACCAGGGTAGTGAGGGAAATGAAAAGGGCCTGTTAATGGGGACGGAGTTTCTCTCAGGGATGATGAAAATGTTCTGGAATTAGATAGTGGTGATGGTTGCTCAACTTTGTGAATAATTAAAACCACTGAATGGCCCACTTTGAAAGAGTGAGTTTTTATTGATGTCTCAATTTTCAGTTTCTGTATTTTTCCTTGGGCACTCTACAAGTTAAGTTCCAAGGAAGCATAACATAACTTGCAAGAGCATATTGTCATCAAAGCACATATTTATATATTTTGTTCCTAAGAAGAAACAAAAGAGGCTTCATAATTAGGCTTAAGGTTGGCATAAAAGCTTAACCAGTTTTAAGTATCAGTGCAGAAAGGTAATGAGTCCACTGTTTCTCTCAGGTCATACTATGAGGAAAACCATGAGTTCGTTGCTCCTGTTCTCTTTGACTTGACATAGACCCTTCTCGTTTAGATTGATCACACAATTGTTGTCCTGAAATTGAGGAAAGAATCCTAAGTATTTTAACCCAAAGTCTCATATTTGCTCTCTCGTTCTTTCCCAGGTGCTACCTTTTCCGAGCCAGGTGGTGTACAACAGAGTAGGCAAGTGTGGGAGTCGTACTGTGGTCTTGCTTCTGAGAATCTTGTCAGAGAAGCACGGATTCAATTTGGTCACGTCAGACATTCACAACAAAACCAGGCTTACTAAAAATGAACAAGTAAGTTGTCTTTGCCCATGGTTAAAGTGTGCTTTGTGTGGATTCATCTGTGTAATTAGTGGGTGCCTTACCAGACATGCTGCAAACACCTAACAACTGAATAACAGAGTTGCAATGTCGTTCTGTATTTTTGCCCTCCTGTGGAAGGAAGTGTAGGTTAAAGTCTGAAGGCAGTCTTTAGACGGGAAGTTACCCTGAAGGGATACTTTTACTAAGATGGATGGAGGACAGTATACACTCGTCAATATCTATTTAGCTAAAATTAGCAATGCATAATTGTCAAATAGTTACACCACTGAGCTATAAATAACGCTGACATCCTGACGACAAAAATAAGAAAACTATTTTAATTATTTCTTCTTTTCCATTTTTTCACAATTTCCCTGAGTCTTTATGGTTATACTGAAGAGAAAGCTCTCTTTGGGCTAAGAATCTGATTAGGTGATGGGGCAGGAACTTCTTACTGTGAGTGGGCTCAGGGCGTCTTGAACTTCCAAAGCAGCATTTGGCATATTCAATGGAAGCCAAAGAATTGCTCCATTTCCCAGGAAGAATTGTCTTTTTTTTTTTTTTTTTTGAGAGCGAGAGAGAGAGGGCTCAGATGAGTGAGGGACAAGGAGAGAGAATCCCACAAGTGGCAAGAGAGGGAAAGAGAGGGAGAGAGCTTTCACCCAACGCAGGGCTTGTTCTCACCCGAAGTGGGGCTCCAACTCATCCAATGCGGGGCTCAAACTCACGAACCTTGAGATCATGACCTGAGCCAAAGTTAGATGCTTAACTGACTAAGCCACCCAGATGCCCCAAGAATTATGTCTTAATGTAGCCAACTGATGCAAGTGGACACGCTGGCAGTAGATTAGGGGTGCTGTAGTCCTTTAGGGAGCTACGAAGACAGATTTTACTCTGTAAGCTGATACAAAGGCAGGGTCAACAGTCTCCATTGAGGTGCTTTGCTCATGTACAGAAGTTAGCTGTAGTGCTCGCACGATCATTTTACAGGGTCAGATTTGTTTGCCTGGTCTCATAAAAGTTGCTTCTGTCCCCTTAGATAGTTAGGATGTATGAGTAGCCACCAGCATAGGTCAGGGTTTCTTAGACAACAGAACCAGTAGAATGGAGATATCTAGATAGATAGATAGATAGATAGATAGATAGATAGATAGATAGAGGTTTATTATGAGGAATTGGCTTATCCAATAACAGAGGCCAAGAAGTCCCACAGTCTGCCATCTGCAAGCCAGAGACCCAGGGAAGCCATTGGTGTAATTCAATTTCAATCTAAATGTGAAGGCTTGAGAACCAGGGGAGTCAGTGATTTAAATCCCGGTACAAGGGCAGGAGAAGATAAGACATGATATCCCAGCTTAATCAGTGAGGCAGGAAAACCCGGGAGAATTCCTTCTTCTCTAGATATTTTGCTGTTCAGGGCTTCAAGGGATTGGATGGTGCCCACCCACTCTGGGGAGGGTGATCTACTTTACTGTATCACGTGGGATCTACTTTACTGAGTCCATGGATTCATATGCTAATCTCATCTGGAAACAGCCTCACAGACACACCCACAGATATTATTTAATATGGGTACCCCTTGGTCACTCAAGCAGACATGTAATATTACCCATCCCACCACCCAGTGAGGATGGAAATGGGGAATAAACATGGCACATGGTTTACCATAGGAATGAAACCACAATTAATGAAAATGTTTACACATGTCCACCTCTTTCTGACATAATCCTCACCTTTAAGGCATTTGAAACCTCACAAACAGAAGGGATCTCATTATTAATTTATGATAGCCTATCATTCTCTTTTATCTTGGGGGCTAGTAGGACTCTTTTAAAACCCTAGCATAGCTGACAGTCCTTGCTGTAAAGCCAGTATGTTCAGTGTCTTCCAGTGTAGAGATCAAAAAGCCCATGCCTTTGAAAACTTCTGTGAAAGGCTCTCTGAGTATCAAGTTTGAATTGTCACTCCCAATTAGCAAAACAAATTTAGAGATCCACCCTTATGGGTTGTGTGGTAGGCTTTTGGTAGAAAACAGTATATTTGGTGACATTTAAGGATATCACATTTTATGAATAACTTTAATCGAGGGAGGTTCTCTTTAATTTCCTTACCTGATCAAAAAGCTAATATTACCCGGCTGGCTATGCCCCTCTCACTGCCTGAAAGAGAGTGGCTATAAATAAATAGCCTATGTTATTGCAATTTTATTTCAATTATCACATTTGGTTTTCCTTGGAGTCCTAGGTCTTTGGGTCTGCTTATCAGATTATATTTAAATATTCCTATGCATGCAAACTATGCTCATTCTCAGATGCCTCATCAAACACTGTAGCTTCATTCCCACTGCGAAAAGGGGACAAACAACCCAGAAAGACCAGGAAAAAGGTAACTAAAGTATTAGACGCGGGGATGTTCAGGAATGCCCGAGAAGAGAGAGGACAACAGATGTGTTTAAATATGCTGGGGTTTTGCACAGATGAACCTACTTTGTTTCCTATGAGAAGCAAACATGAGAAAGTAAAATACAGTTGTAACTGTCAAGGGACATATTTTAGACTTAAAAATAACAATAATTTCTTAATGGTATATACATTGTTAAATCTAGAAAGGGTTAAAGACAAAGTCATCCTCTTCCTCTAAACGAGAGGTTAGCTCTCATCTGTTTGGAATGATTGGCTTGTCTGGAAGCCAGGGAACAGACTAGACAATCTCCCAAAGTTCTTTCCAGCCCTGTAATTCTGTGATACAGTTATACAACTTGTAGCACAATCTGTGTATGGTGTAGTTGAAGCATTTCTGATTCCTGTGGTCCATGTGACCTAGAATATATTTCATTACTTGGTTATTTCAGATTTCCATTGAGTTACAAGGCACGTCCTAAGAACTCAAGGGACTGATAAGGTAGGGAAAAAAACAAACAATTTTGATGTGAAAACAAACATAACGAGTGACAGCTGCCTCTCTGCCGCTAGCTGACTGGCTATGACATGCAGAGGGAGGCAAGAAGGGACAAGAACCGAAGTTTGAGGAAGTCCAGGAATGTTTAAAGGAACTAACTGTTCCCATGTTACATGCACCCCTTTTGCTAAAGTTGCAAAGTGCATAGAACAGAAGGAGGGAAAAAAATATTATTTTAGCCTAATATATTCAAGAAACAATTTGTGGTAAGAATAGCTCCTCTGCTTGGTAATTTATTAAAGGAAAAAGGAAGAAGTGATTTAGGAGGTGAGTTAAAATTTTACAGTCAGTGGTTCTCAACCTTAAGCAGGCGAGCTCTGAAAATGTGTTCCCATGGAAACATTGTTCTCCATAGTTAATAACAACTCCACTTCAGGTGCCGTAGGAGTTAAACAGGCTCTTGTGGGCTGGCCGGGCCTCCCTCCACCATGTAGAACATTTCTTTTATGAGCAAATGTGTTCCAAGTTCCCAACTACTGACTTACAAATGAACTTTGGAATAACATCCACTTATAAGACTGGAATTATCTATACCCAGTCTATTCGTACACAAAGGCACTTGTCTGGGTCAGAGTCAAATCTGTGTATACATTTCTCCCCAGAGGGTAGCTGTCATTACACACACACACACACACACACACACACACATACACACACAGTACTAAGTTTAATAAAGTCCATTTAATAGAATAAGACACTGAAGGGCTTATTAAAAAGGAAAGAGAGCATGAAGACACCAACTGTTACAATGCCAATAAAAATCCCATTACATCTGCCCTCATAGAAATAGAAATACCATTGAAGTTTGTATTTTTAAAACTACCTCAACAGAAGACCACAGACAGCTGCTGCTGGCCAAATGGCGGACCTTTTCAGGGGATATGATGCAAGCTCACGATGACATCATTTCATTTATACTCTGAAACCAGATTTCAGTTTCTTGGACTGGTGTAGATGATCTCTTGGAAGTAGAGATTTTGAAAGATAGGGAACTATGTTCCAGAAGGCGGAGGTGTGATCGCCAAAAGACTCTTCGCCATCTTTGTTAATGGTCTGATGCTCATTTGGGTCTGAGTACAGGATATAAGGATCCAGAATTATTTCCTTCTTGTCGGAGAGGGGGCAAAAATTGTTGGCATCTGAGCCTCAGAGATGGACAAAGCAAATAATTTCACATTTTTATTTACGTTGGAGCTATTGAGAATTGCAGATTGGAAACAGCACTTAACTACATGCTAATTATTTTCCTTTATTATTTCATTTAATTCTTTTGGACCAAAAATGATATGAGTAAGTGAGTATAATTCTTTATTTTATGGATGGGAAAATTGAGACAACCAGACTAAGTCACTTTCCAAATGTAATATAATAGAATGTCCGTGCTGCGTGGGCTCGAACCTAGATCTTCTGAACTAAAGCCATTCTCCTAATGCAGTGGTTTTCCCCTCCGGCCGCACAGCAGAATATCTGCAGAGCCTTTTGAAACATCTAGTAGCCATGCATGGCCCTTCTGGAGATTGCGGGGTAGAGTCCAGAAAACGTTTTTACTTTTTTTTTTTTAAATTAAGTGTCCAGACTATCACGCAGCCTGTCCCTAAGGGTGTCCCTGCAAATCTTAGCCCCCTAAGACACTGAAAAAAATTTTTTTAAACAAAATATCATGGTTAAATACATTTAGGAAATGCTGCTCCCAGGTCCTCCCTCTAGGAGACTTATAACAAGTGTTCGCATTTTAAAGACTGGGAATTCTTTCGTGAAAGCCAAAATTGGCAATCTCTTTATCTGGCTTTCCCCTAGACTTTCCTGGTCTTAGTTGAAGGGGAGCCTTTATGAGCATTTGGGGCTGTCACGCACATCCCACAGAACTTCGACTCACAGCCTGGAAAATGTTGGACTAACCTATCCGCTTCTGTCAGTCATGCCTGTAAAGCTCCTGTTTCACTATAAACTTCACATCTGCTCTGACGCTGTTCAACAGCTATTCAAAGGACCCCAACCTTGAAAAGTATTCAAAGGATGGAAGAGACAGAAAC